TGTTACAATATGAGCCATGAAGTGAACATACCCGGCTGGTTTATAATTAAAACAATAGATTTTGAGCTTTTAATGAAACAAAATTGCATTGTTACATTGAAAAACTAGGAAGAAAAGTACTGACTTTCTTCAACCGTTGGGGCCAAAATGTGTCTTTCATTGAACATTTTTCAGTTGATTTAGAACCTTTTTGCAAATCAGAAAAAAATGGACAGGACTATCCGAGAAACAACAAATTAAATTGGTGTGGCCTTAGTACATGTAGTATTAGATACGTGAACGTTTGTCAAACGTTGTACTTGTAGAATTTTAAGGAGTCACACGAGGGCGCTCTTTCAGCTTTCAAGTATTGCAATCTGGTTCATATCATTGTGATTAAAGGGGGTGTTATTTCGTTGTTAAATATGCAAAAATTTAGCTCAAAATTGAGGATAGCCGCTTGTTTATTTTTCAGTTAAACATTTCAATATTTAACGATACAAAATTGCATCTCTAGATATGTTTTTAAAAGAATTGCGTGTTGGATAGATGTTGTTAGTTACTATATCGAAATGGAGTCGTCTAGTGACAAGCCATCAAGATGGCGGTCCGACTATGCAGTGCCAACTATCCTCTATACGCGGTCACCCTGCTGGACGACTCGCACATTCTGGTGGCAGGAGGTGGCGGTGCGGCCAGGACAGGTGTCGAGAATGCCATGGTAAAGCTGTGATGTTATTGGAGTATTGAATATTTATGTGGTTTCTGGGTGTATGCTGCCGCGGCCCTTGCCCCCCTCCCTCTCTTCGGGGGTTCCAGATGTTGATGATTCAGCTGTCAGTGGCGCTAGCTATAAATTACTTCAACTACGGTATACGGGCGACCATATCAATATTATACAGATTTGAGATTGATCCAAAACCGCCCATGAACGTGTGTTATCAGAAAAATGTGACAGTTATTAATCCAACACCAGTATATCTCCATAGCGATCTGAGGCCTGATCAAATACTATTGCATAATATGATACATGCATATGTACACGTAGCCATAATGTCCTGTAAATTAAACACGGTTCACAATGACTGAGTCATATGCATTAATTTTTTGTAGCATTTTGTCTACTCACACCTACACTTGTATGTTAGATTTGTTTACAAGTTTACAAGATTGCACGCATACATTGATGAAATTATTGGATTCACCTGGATAGAGTGTTACTCATAAATGCTACATTGCAACCGAGAATTTGAACCATATTTCCCTTGACTACAAAACACTATTGTTCACTATATTGCTGCGAAAAATGGTATTTCCCTGACATGCTGATGCTCCTCCTGGCCTTTGCAACATTACTAAATATTTTGGTACAGTGATTTTATACCTGTTGGAATAGCCTGGTACTCCAATACTCAGCTCCGCCTACATTAACATTTGCTCTGAGGATATAAGCAGATACTCGTAGCATGGCAGCCACTTATGACTGCTGAATGTCTCCTAGGAAATCTTTGAGCTCCAGGGTGAGGGGAAGAACTGTGTCGCCACCAGCATCCACAAACACAGCACCGACCCCAGGGCTGTCATGAGCCTCGCAGCAAGGTCTGATGGGAAGGGGCACCTGGTGGCTGCTGGGATGGATGGAAAATGTCAGCTCTTCAGAATAACAAAAAGCAATGTGGCATCTGATGAGGGGGAGCAAGATGCAGATAAAGGTATGGAATTTTTTAGCATGAAAGTTCATCTGAGTTACAGGTAGTAAAGTACATTACTATGGAACAATACTGAACTGTTATCCAACTAAAAAAATTGGACTCAGAGCATGGCTAAAGGAGGTACATACACAGTCCCTGGGCGCATTCATTACGAGAGGCAAACAACCTTCGACACATTCCCGACATCACACATGCATGTGAAGTCACTTGTCCTGAGTGATTGGATCAGTTAGCTGAAGAGGACCAAGTGATTCAGTAAAAAATTCTAGGAGACCATTTTTTTTGCATTTGGAGAACAGTTCAATTCCATAAGTATGAAGTCCTTTGTTAGTTTGTATCCTCATATCTGTTCTTTCACTTTTGAGGTCTATTTTACCTATATAACCTTTTCTCCTACTGGACAATTTCTATTCAGATGTCTTGTTGTCTTTGTCTTCCTGTCCTATCTGGTCTGTCTTTGACCATGTGTTTAGAAGCAAGTAGAGTTAATCAAGCAGGCAAGAGGGGTAAGAAGACAGGAGAGAGAGAGGGTGGGAAGAGAGGAAGGAGAAAACGTGGAAAGAAAACCAAATCTGCCGGTCGGTTGGTTGGTCTGTATAACTGGCCAGTTGAAATTTCACTCTGCATTCTAAGTTTGCAGTGTTTGAAGTGTACTCAAAAGTATTGACACTTATATTTATGGAGAATTTTACCTGCCAGATAGCATGTAGATATCTGAACCTATGTAACACTTAGCTGTCATGTTACTGTGATACAAGTATGTGTATGGGGATATGTATGTTGCCTGTCTTCCTTTTGCAAGAAATAGCAAAGCTTTTAACATTCATAACCCAGTCCTTGAATATAACCATATAATAATGTTCAGAAAAAAAGTACAGTTGTTGTCCCCATGCTAAACACTTGCTTTTTCTGCTGTTGTGGGCTCAGGTTCACCACATAACTTGCTGATACAACAAATGTAGCAGGCTTAGGCTTTGTGTTAGACCGTCATAATTGCTGGCTACTTAAAGTAAGGGCCCAAATGTAGTTAATGCCTACAAAACTACCTTTTTCACTCAGAAAATGAAGCCAACTTGAGAAAGAGAAAAGGGTCGACAGGACCGAAGGCAGAGAAGTCTTTAGAGGGGACAGAACATACAAGTAGTGATTACAAGGTGGAGTCACTGGCCTGCGTTGATACTGACTTCCACAAGGAGGAGCCGTTTCAGAAAGTGGTGCGGTTCAGTAGGGATGGGGACATCATTGCCACAGGGGGAGCAGATGGGCATGTTAGGGTATGGAAGGTAAGAAACACCACCTCTTAAAGCATTAGGTATTATGGATTACACGTACATATGGTGTGTTGACATTACATATCATGAGCACGTCAGCAGAACGTACTGCACCTGCGCAAAACCCGTAATGTATTTTGCTTAGCACTTAGTCATATTCGCACATATAAGGTTAACACTCCGTCTGCAGTTTCCAAATGTTGTGTTGGAAAAGATATCCTCTGCAACAGGCAAAAAAATTCTGATGCAACGGTGACCAAACTTCCAACGAAAACCGTGAAAGGCTTTTCGCAGGCCAGGCACAGTATGTTCTGCTTACATGCCCATATCATGTATGGCCAAATGCAAGTTCAAATTGAATTCTACAATAAAAGCTGAAATGACATGGGGAGCTGAAATGGAAAAAAATGGAAGCTGCCATTTAACAGCCCAAAACTCTCTGGTAGCTACTAGTACATAGTTGCCAAAATTGTGTGCAGGGAATGTATGCATGCTTATACAATTAAACTTTGTCTTTAGCTTAGACTTGCCTATGCAGAAGTTTTTTTAGAAGTTGGGAGAATACTAATAAAGGATGAAGTGTCCATGGTAAAAGAAGAGATCAATAACTGGCAATGTTTCTAATCTCCTTTTATGGTTACCAGATCCCCAAGCTTGAGAAGAAACTGGATATCAAAGCCCACCTGGATGAGATTGATGACCTGGATATCAGTCCATCAGGGAACAAGGTGACTAGCTCTAGAGATCAATCTGCTGCAATCAGTATCCTGGATGCAATATACACTATTTGATTTGCTGTTTCTCAGTAGTTACCTAATGTATCACATATTCACAGTCTTCCTGGAAGTATTTTACTTCACTTCACATGCCTGTTTTGCTGTTGGACAGATAGTGTCTGTGTCTCGAGACCACCATGCCTATGTGTGGAAGGTAGAGAGTGGTAAGAGGGAGGCAGAACTACACTGGGATAAAAAGGTACCAGACAAGAGCTACAGAATAAAGGCTGTCAGGTAGGACAGGTGTACATTCCATCTTCAGTTTTATTGATAATAATGTCCAGAAAAGTTTTAAATATCTGGAACAGTGCCGGCCTGCAAGGTTTATCGGAACTTTTCCTTTCTTGAAATTAGCCCACATTATTTGAAAACAACTATTTGGTTCTTGATTCTGGTAGAAGGGAAAAGGGAGGTTTTTGCTGTGTCTGATTATGAAGTTTGCAGTTGAAACAATTCTGTAGTACAGTAATTGATACACTACTGTATTCACAGTAAATTATGATACACTAAATGCACATTTGTTTGTTTGTTTGTTTGTTTGTTTATTAAGGAATCTCCATTAGTGATAATATGTACATCACTACTCTTCCTGGAGTCCTATTCACAGCATCCTGGATTTTGTAGGAAGAGATGGAAATAGATTAAAACCACTGCAAACATTTCTAAGACTTTACAGTATATGCTACCTCTTAGTAAACATAGTTTGAATGCATATCTGTAGTAATGTACTGCTGTTGCTGTGTGTTGTTGAAGGTTTGGCACATCCCAGGAGAAGAAGTCGACAGTACAGCTGTACACGATGCACATCCCAGCACGGCGAGAGAGGAAGCCTCTACCCTGTTACCTCACCAAGTGGGACGCCATGAAGTTTGTTCCAGAAAAAACCCGGTCCACAGGCACTGATGTACTGTCTTCTCTAGCTGTCAGGTACTGTTTAACCATTTCCTGTATTTTAAATGCTTTCTATGAATGGTGCATATACATATAGGACTTTTTTGTTTCTACTTCTTGCAGTTCAGATTTTTTAAATCATTGTTTATATTACTCCTTCAGAAGCAATAGAACAAATAACAAACATGGTACAGTACTGTTAATGAGAAAAAACAGTATGATTCTATTTTGTGTTAGGAGGTAAAGGAGGTTTTTGCTTTGATTACCGTTGGTTGAAACAAAAACGTCTGTATTACAGATAGTAATACAATGCAAACACATATTTGCTGTGTCAGGATTTATCATTTATTTAAACTGCATGATGTTGCAGTTAAAACTTATCCTTATATATTATATATTTCTGACGATTTTCCCTCCTTTACCCTCTTTTCATTTTGCAGTGATGATGGAGTATTTCTTGGGGTGGGAACCAACTCAGGTGATACCATGATATACGTGTCCTGGAGTTTACAGGTAGGATTTGACTTCATCACTGTTGGATGGTTTACATACAGTAGATACTAACTTAGGCCAATCAATTGACTTGTTTATTTGACGTTCCCCCCCCCCCCAGAAAGTCCACCGGGTGAGTGAGGCCCATGGCATCTTCGTGACAGGTCTGTCTTTCCTGAAGAACAATGCCGTAACAGCAGAACTGACCAAAGGGGCGGAGACTGCCCTGGTCAGTGTGTCAGCTGACCACCATGTTAACCTGACGCCACTGCGACCTAGATGTAAGTTACCAGGATGGTACTACTACTACTACTACTAGTATTTACTTTGAGCATTTCACACACGCAATTGGGTAAAATGCATATGGTGCATGATTTTAGAACTTACTAGTATTTTTCTTGTTTTGGAAACTTAAATGACAAGAGAAAAGCAGAATTTATTCCTCCGGGAAGTACATGTATTTAGAGTTCAATTAGTTCATATATATAAGAAACTGTTACATGTGCAGAAATCATAATGGTGTTCCCTTCTTGTTTTCCAGTTATGATCAGTGTATGGTTTGCAGTGATTGGTTTCCTGGTGCTGATAGTGGTGATCATGGTGTACCTGGGACAACAGGGACTCATGTAGGGAACTACTCAAATGATGTAGGAAAGCAGAGGCTTTTTTAAATGATAAGTCATAGTTGCAATGGTCTTAATAGTCAAAAGTAATTCTTTGTATTTCTCACAAAATTTACTAAGTAAAGGCACCACCATTTTCTGAATTGCTAAGTCCAAAGCTTTCATCTACACTGACTTAATTCATATGAATCATCACAAACATATCTTCATGTACTTCTGCTGCTTGTAACAATTTGAAAACTAGCTTAGCCTGTCTATTTTAGATAAGACTTGGATTTTTAGTTGAGACAAACACCAGTACCTGTGCACAGTTGGAAGGAGGCAGGAAGCTACAGAATTTGTGATGTCAGCTACATGTACCTCTGAATACATGTAGTTACGTGTATGTGTAGACTTACAAGACCATCCTTTGGAACAAGTCCATCCTTTTTAATAGTGCTTGAGAATATGTGAAATTTAGCAATAATATATGTGCTACACAATCATGTGAAGTCATATTGCAGGATGGCACTTGGATTGACATTGTATTTATTGTATTGAGAGCTAAATGAATTAATGTAATGAAATCATGATGTTGGAAATCTCATTGAGTAGCCAGGTGACATTAGTTGATTGTAAGGCAACTATTTTGATACATGAGAGTGTGCTGCAGTGAAATTGCTTGTTTTCAGAACTTGCCATGTGTGAATATGTACAGTGTATCTGTGCCCCAGACTTCTGTGTCTCAATGTTAAACACATGTAACGTTACCTACATGTATATCTACTGGGTCAAACTATTGGTCTATAAGAAGTACCTGATATTATAGCCTGACTACATCTGGCTTCTAGCACTCAGTAACAGGCCTTCTACTGGTCTGTTCCCTAGAATTTTGATGGCCGATGCCTCTTGTAAGTCAGGAAAATTGGGAACATCTTGTTTATTAATTTATGCATATGTGCTTTAATGAACTAATTGTTGTCAGACATAAAACTGTCACTGGTCTACCATAGTGCTAGAGGCTGTGATGACTGGTTTCCATAATGACAGAGAATCCTGAGCTCCTATTGGACTAACTTACATAGCTACAGGTAGTTCTGGAATGGGAATGGTTCTTTCAGGCTAGAGGAGAAAGGCCACATGTACAGGCTCAGTTTCTGACGGGGAGAGATTGTGTAACATGCATGTAGGCCAGGAACTACATTTGCATAGGGATGGCTTTACCTACATGTTGTCATGGCAAATAATCCATCCACATTCTTAAAAACAATGTTTATCGGTATACACATCTAAACATCCCATGTGATGTTGCCTTTTCTTGCCCCATCCCCCATTGTCCTGGTCCAAACCTTTGTGTATGGATGAATTTTTTTATCATCCAGAGACGTTCTTGTAATAAACTTCTAGCTACAGAAATGCTTGATAATGCTTGTTGTAAGTCAAATTAACATGAAGGTAATCTCACAAAGTATTAACCTATGACTGTAGATTACTTCTACAATTTTCTTATTTGTCCTATTTCTTAAGTTCTGTTATTTGCTTAAGGTTTGTTAATAAGCACAATCCTGTAACTGTAAGCAAAGGTGTCTGCATGATTTAAAAGCCTTGATTACCAGACTTTGTGCTTGTAGAATTATTTCAAGATTGTGTTAGTTTTCTTGAAATAGTTTATAGAATTATTTTTTAAAAATCATATGATAGTTGTATTGTTATTTTATAATTGTGGAATGGCATCACCCCACTGGGTAGGGACTCCATGAGCTCATTACACCGACTAAGATGACATAAACAGGAACAAAACTCTAGGCAAGGATTAAGCCTTACTGGTGGCCTTCTAGAATAATTCAACTAAGGAAGACCTGAATGTAGCTTTCTGCTATACTCAACAATACCCAATGCTACCACAGTTGTATCTCTCGGTTGTATATGACTTCGTATGTTTGTCATTGTGGCTATGACCATACATGTAAGTTGTTGACATCTGCACATTCCCTGAGAATGGCTGCTGGCTAAAACTGATTTGATGTATTTATGTATGGGATGTTTCTGTTAACAAATTGTATTAAGATGGCTTCTGTCTATTTTGCCATTCACCTTTTTGCCATGAATGTTGAATAAACATTGATAATGGTAAATGTAAATGCGTCTAAATTCAGTTATGTTCAATAGACGTGTCCAAGACAGTAAATATATAATAATATTGTAATACTGCAGTTCAAGACCTTTTTAAAGTTTTATTGGATTTTGTCACCTATAATTTTACGAAGTCACCATTTTGGACCAGCAATGCTGTCTACATCATTTAAAGCATCTGCAGCTGACTGGATGGTAAAAGTAATGGCAGCCACTTGCTTCTTAACTTCCTCCCAACCTGGAATAAACAAGGATGCAGCATGTGTTACTAGCAGGGTTTATGGAGATCCAACATTTGTCACATAAATTTGTCATTTGCTCAAACATGCTAACTCTTGGGTAGATGGAATAGTCTAATCCTGCCTGCCCATCTTAATTACCAGAGCAACCAATGATAGCATGGGGGGTAATTAGGAGATTGACAAATGCCCAAGTGAGAGGGTGGTAAAAAAAGGCAAGCAGAGACTAACGTTGCCATTGACTAGCAGCCAAATAACTCAAATAATTGACATAACATTGAAAATAACCGATGTAATAGATGTTTCCATCTGTACATCTTGAACAAAGAAGGGTAGTCTAGTTTTTAAAGTTGTGTGGTTACCTTCGCCTTGTGGCCCTCCACACATCGCATCTACTATCCCAGGGAAGGCGTTACTGGTGCCGACGGTGCAGTAGGGTGGGGAGAACAAGACATGTCTGGGGAAGCAGTGAAGAACCAAGTTACAACATGTACACAGTAAAGGCTTTCAACAAGTAAACAGACTCTACTAACAGAACATATAGCTACCAGCATCTATTGTTAAATAGATCTTTTAAAAATATAACGCCTGTATCTAAAATCCTCATAGACGTGTGGTTACTGTATTCTCTGTTACAGTTCCATGTTCTAAAGACTAAAATTAAAATATCGCAGCAAGTGTAGTTTGCTGTACTTACTTGAAGAACACATGTTGACTGTTGGTGTCAATAAACGCTTTGTTCACCGCAACTAGCTGGTCGTTTACCATCCGCGCCTGAATTGGGCTGTCAAAGAAAGAAAAGGTATGTAAACTATGTACTGTACTGCACTGTACTATAGGAAGTAAAAACTACGTAATGTGTCTCACGATCAGTTTCCTAAAGGTCGCGGCCAATGAGCTATCAAATAATTGACAGATCGCTCAATGAAGTTCATAAACAAACAAAGAACGAATGTTGGTACATTTTGCAATTGTGTGTTTTGTTGTCTGTCCTTTTGCATCTTGCGTCATATCCCAGTTATGAAATCAAGGGACAAATAAATACATTTATGGTCGCTCAATGATCGCCGTCTAGCGAAAAGGGAGCTTTAAAGAGATGTCATGCAAAAGTAAAATACTTTTCCGGTTTCATGGTATAATCGATGCTTATACATAATTGTATAGTCAAAAAGCAACAATCTACACACTCAATCATGTACGGTTACCAAGTTGGCCTACATTACGCAGTACTCACTTGTCTTTGTCCACTCTGTCCAGTATGTCCTGAAACGCTGCTGCTGCAGCACTGAAGTTCTGGATGGCCGACGACAAACCATCTAGCGGAGAGGATTGAAAAGTACTAACTAATGTAATATAATTACTGCACAGAAACACCCACAGATAAACCCACCAACAAGAAAGGCAATAAAACATTACCATGGCGACGATTGAATGATTATTATTGTATGTGATGGAGCCAGAAATCTCCTTTACAAATGTTCACCACACATGCGTGTAGTGAATTATACAGGATTGGTGGGGGAGATTTAGGGTTAAGCATATTTTTGGCGTTTTTCTGGGCATTTTCATACGGCTCTCTTTGTTGTACTGGTATCTTACAGTGTGGGCCATATACCAAATACACATTTCAGCATATAGGAGAAGGCAGCCATTCTTCCTTTCAAAGCGATTGTAATGACTTACACAAATGCCTCCGCCCGGAGGCGTCGCCAAAAGCACGACTTCCGTGCCATGCAGGAGGTAGATAGAAAGTACAGAAATGATTACCGAGGCGGATGCCTTGTTCCTCTAACGCCGTGCCGTAGTCTGTTTCCGTGGCGTTTAGCCCCGCGGTGAGGACTGGGACGTACTGTTCCCACTCCAGAGGCAGAAGTACTTCATCTGACAGGTACCTCAGCAGTTCTCCTGTAACATGACAGGCGGCGCAGAACAGCGGAATATTTCAGTTCGCGCATCAGGACAGGCGTACAAATGTATATTGTTAAAACTCTCCAAAATACATAAAAATAGATGCAGTGTATATTTATTTCTGAATGCCACGTAGGGATAGCAGTTGGAATGGTTGGTCTACAATAATGAGAGCTCCCAATAATCCATCCTTTACCTGCTGTTCTGGCTAATGCACGGTGAACCGAGAAGTCAGGGTCAACAAAGCGTTCCATGACGTCCATGTTGTCATAACCAGTGTGGTACACAGGATAGGCCGTCCCTATAGGGTACCCTGTCTGGGGAGAATATAGAATATAACTCTTAGCGCTATAGCAATTCCAATATCAAACACGCCATATTGTTCGTATATCTACACTTATTTAGATGAGAATGATAAACGATCAACTTTCTTGCAAGTGTTGCCTGCCGAAAGGATAATTGCCAGCACAGTGACAAGACAAAAATATCGAATGAATAAAAAAAAAAAACCCATCTGTCTAGTATAAATCTAAATGCTAACTCCAAATCATATTGATGATATATAACTGGTTAGGTTTGACTTCTTGTTAGGAGACGGTGGAGGACCAAAACACTTTCTGTCATGTGTGTGTTTTGTAACGTTAAGAGGCACGTATAGTTTTCCTTTTTCCTATAAACACAGAAACATCTGGATGCAATGAAAAAAAATCTTGAACTTTGGTATACAATGGTCAGTTAGGAATAGATATGTTGTTGCAGGTGATTAAGAAATGTCCTGACCTTGTCGTGATCATAAGCCATGGTCATGACAGGAGTGCCGACTCGCAGGGCAAAGGAAGAGTGGTCCGTGCTCAAGGTAATGCCGCCGATGCTGTCATCAAAACGTCGATTACAATTAATGACAAATTGTGATGCAAATTTAAACCTGGTTTAGAACCAATTTAACACGCCAAAACTAGTAGAATGCATTTTACCACCAGGAAACATAATTTCGATCAAGCATGTGTGAACTGAAATAAGAAATCTGCTACATAGGTCTGTGGCTATCAAGTTGTAGAATATAACTAGCACTATTAACTTTGAAATTATTGATGTGTATACAGACATTAGAATGTTATCTATATTTTAAGGAATATTTTTATTAATCTTGGCCAATAAAGAGAAATGCAGATCTTACAATGGAGTTTCCTTGCCTTGTGCCCAGTCGTCATACACAGTTTTGTCAGGCGTGTTGTGTGGACTAGGGACCTACTCACGGGTATGACAAGGGAAAACAAGTAAGATGCAATCGTTCTATTGGTGCCAGTATTAGTATAAATCACATATGCACCAGTGACAAGAAATTACTGGCCTCGTGCTTTCGCTTCAGTGGGGCCGGGGGGTGTGCACATTATTTGGAAGAGCACACAGAACGCTCCATATGTGGGAGCCCGGATGGTAGATGGCGCGTAAAAATTGCGAACTTTGTCGTTCAATTTCGCGGTCAAAATGTGGCCCTGGCAAAAAATATATCATAGATTATAAAAATAGACCTAAAAGTCTACCATGTCAGATAGAGTTTTTTTTCTATACTAGTATTTCCAAAAAGTCCTCAGGCACCCTTCAATATGACCTTAACACTGAGACGACAAAAACAGAAACACTAAACGTGCCAGAGTTTTTTTTGTGACTGCCAATAGAAATGTCACCCTGTGTGTACAAACCCGTTTCGTGGCCTCATAAATGGCGTTGCGAAGGGATGGACTTGCTCCTACAGCAAGGCTGTAGTTTCCTGCAAGTAAGTTGAGATGCAAGTAAGAAGTATCAATGCCAATAAAAGACTTATCAAATTGAAGGTAGACAATGGGCTATTGTAGTCTATCACCAAATTAGTGGCTTACCGTGAAACGTTAGCGTAGATATAAAGGTTGAGTTGATGGGTTTGTTTATGAGCCACTGGAATTTACTGCCTGATGATATAATGTAAAACATCTACCTGAAACTCCAACGTCCATATTGACGTAGGTGACAAGGCGTTCTCCGAGCAGTTTGGCGTATTGCTGGAAGGAGGTATGGCAATTACTTCGCTCAAACATCGTACAGTTGAGTGAGAGTAAGTGGGTGGGGTGGGGGCGGCACTAACCTCAACCCCCCCAAACCAAAAAAAAATCTACCATTTGTGTGATATTCTTTGACTTTGAGTTCGAGCAACATAATAAAATTTGGACAAAAGAGCATAATACACAACACATGTCATCGGAGGCCGTTAGATAAATGTGCAATTAGGACAGTATATTACAACAGAGGTTTTTCTTTTCACCTCAACATACTCCATGGATCCGAACAGACCGAACTCCTCCGCTCCCCATGCAGCAAATACAACAGACCGGCGAGGACGCCACTTCCCTGCAAATTAACAGACATAATTCATTTTGAAGTATGTAACATTTACGTAACATATATGTAACATATTCAAGACTTTTCTAATCAATACCTATCAAACTAATTACCAATCCCAATGTTGTCATTGACTCCATTGACTCTATAGACCTCTTCCATTGTGTACGTGTTGCCGATACTCGTACTTGAATAAACATTTGATCTTCAAACATGGTCTGTTTCTGTAAGTTTGTTCATGGATTATGACAGCTAACATCATGAAGGTATTCCATGAACTGAAAAATCTAAGCGTGGTGTACCTTCCGTAGCAAGATTTCCAAACACCCTGGTGAGTTCCAGACTTATGGCCGTGGAGCTGGTGTCATCAATGGCTCCCTGGACCCACGCGTCATAGTGGTTCCCAAACATCACATACCGGTCTAAATTGAGAACAGAATTGAAGAAAATGTTATGACCTACGGTGTAGGTCAAATCATAGCCAGTTATTTGCACATTAAGCACTGTTAATTGTTGTTTTGAATTGTATAATAAAGCCAGCCATTGTGCCATGCAATAGATTAATGTTGGAGTTCATTGTCGTGAATAGGCTATCCGACAAACAAACACTTGAGGAGTATTACGGTTGCTTGCTTTTACATTGAATATTTGCAATACATGTCATACTCATAGTATACTTTTGCCCATATCGACCACCTATGCGTAGCTTAATTGTACCTTATTTTTCCCATACATATCTAGCATGTGTATTCACGTATACATTTTCCTCAACGCAAAAACACTATAAAATCGTACCTGGTTCAACACGTCCTTTAATCATCCCAATGACGTTGTAGACTCTTTGTATTGATGTGTTTGTGTAGACATTCATGCGTACTTCCCTCGCAGCCCTGCAAAATGATAAATATTGAAGCCTTAGACAAGCCTGCAGCTGATAAGTTAACTTAGGCTACGTAGAAAATTTTAGGGCTTAAACCTGTTTGGCTTGATATAAGATTTTGAGTGTCATTTTTGTGCACCGTAATTAGTTGTGGCGACAACGTGCACACAGAGCCATTTCCGGTATCCATAAAGAAAATTAATTTAGAATTTGTTAATACTATTTATAATCGTGAATTTCTCACTGATTCTGCATACACAATTTCCCACTGCCTTCCATAAGGCGACAAGCATGAATACAGTAGAATACTGAGAATGAGATAACCTAAACAGAGAATGAGATAACCTAAATTCAATTTGGTAATCTATTGGCGACCTTTGTGACCGTTGACCTAACCCTATCAGTGTCCCAGATCATACGTAATACTCGTATATACACTTTCTCCCAACCTGCGGGAAGACCACCTGACCTACTACAAAGACAAATACACCATACATAAAACCTCCGTACATGGAGGTAAAATCCAATATAAACTTCTCACCAATCGTCTGTAAATCCCGGCCCAAGTCTGTAGGTTATTGGAAGCGAACCGTTCCAACCCGAGGGCACTTCTTCTCCGGAAAGTCGTCTGGAGAAATTTAATGACATAATTTAGTTGTATACATCGGGAAAAGCTGGCGAGGGCAATCTGCCATGTAATGACGCGTTACACAACGAAGAAATAACTGACGTTTTAGAAATGTTCTGGCGTTGCTGGTTTTTCGGTTTGAAACATTACGTTTACATTCGCCGTAGGTCGTCGCACAGAACCAACCTCCGACAGAACCTACTTCTGACAGGATCTAAGACAGCATACATTTTCGGTAACAAGCCACCTGAGTTTTGTAAGATGCATGCACGGCTACCCCAAGCTAAAGAATGCCCTCAGTTTTCTATTGTACAACGAATGAAACCAGGCCCTTTGAGATGGACAGTACTGGGAGAATGAGTTGACTAACCTCACGTATTCTTGTGCGTCGTTGTATGAGATGGGTAAGATAGGGATGGGTGGAAACACGTCAACATCACCAAGTGGTCTACGGTAGGCGTAATCTGTGGGGAACATTAAAACTTAAGATATTCATAAGGAACGCAGAAAGAGTGTATCCTCCAGAGTAAACCACTAATAATGATATCCAAGAAGAATTATTATGAAATATGAAACGAAAGAAGGAAAATTATTGGGTTATTGCTGTGATTTAGGTCCAAAAAAGATTGAATTTTACTAAAATCGAGTTGACCCCTCCCCCATACATTGGCTGTTACTCTTATAGGTTATCGCAAGCACCACGATGCCAAACAAATACACATTCCTTTCAAACACTAATCAGATTATAGTTTATCATTTCGCAATTGTTACCGAGGAGCTTATCGTGAACAAATATTGGACCTGTCACCAGGTCTATATACACCCTACCCGTTGCCGGATACCCAGGTGTGAGCGGTTCCCCCGGATCGGCGAGTGCGGAGCCCCTCTCCACCCCGGTCCCCGGGAGGAACCAGCTGTCCGGGTACACCGGCAAGCCGGGCACGTTCACATCCGCCGGGTCAGGGTAGATGATGACCCCCACCATTCCCACTGCAGCAGCGTTTGTTGCCTACATCAGGAAATTCAAGTGTAAACTGAAGTGGTCCGGGATACGCAGTGGGTTTTAATAAGGTGTAGTTCGGAATAAGAAGTCCTCCATGTACACAACACATTGATTCGTCTTCCTAAATAGACGTAGCTGTAATAAAAACGTCAAGCCTTCACGTCAATACACAACACAATTTTCCACTTAAACAGTATTAATCGAATACATATCATCGCACACGTTACCTTCGCTCCTCTCAGCTCCCGACCGTACTTGACGATAGCTATCTTCCCGGTGCAGTTGATACTCGCGTTCTTTTCTAGATATTCAAAATCCTGTGGGCGACCATAGTTGGCAAATACAAGTTCTCCCTGTTATAAAAAGAAAAAGACATGTTATATCTATCTATCTGCCAATCTACACTGTCAACGGTTTACACAGATCATTTCCTACATGGCAGCTTTTGAACATACCACTGGGTTTCCTGGTGGAGAAAAGGCGTAGAAGAACTGTGGTGCGTCGGGGTCTCCCTGCAGTTCAGGCTCGATGTGGGCCGTGCGAGTGTCGTTAAACTCGTACCCCACCCCGTCCACCGTCACTACCGTGTTATTCTCACCCATCTCCCCCATGGGTGGGTAGGACAGGAGGAAGTCGTAGGGTACCAGTCTGGAGAGCACCAACATAGACTGTGAATAAAAATCTGTACCTGACATTTGTGTCAGATGGTAGATGAGCAATGATTCTAGACGATGTCCGAAATGACTGAGAACAAACCCAAGTACGTGTTCAACAATAGTGGACCTTGTAGTTTCCGAATCAAACCATAATCTTAGGTCCCCATGTAATTTCAAGTGAACATTACTATGAACAGCAAAATCGCTCTACCTGGCCTCATCCAATCCATTGTCTAGCCATGTTTGTCTTAAGAGTTCCGCCATCTCAAGATCAGGGGCAGTTCCTGCCATGTGAGGTCTCCTGGCCAGCTCTCTGAGACGGACAGAGCGACATAAAATTGTCAAAAATGTTATGGTAAAACTAATTGTCCAAATACTTTATACATCCTCATGTTTACGTATAATCATTCTATCATAGACAACATTGATAATTGTTAATTTATATATACATAACCTATATTAGGGAAAATTAATGGAAATGATATCGATAATTAATTGGTAATATATTCTTCAAAGGCATTCCCAGGGTTAGCCACATATACGTCCGTCAAAGGCGTTGTAAGCAATAGCAATTGATCATTAGCCCAGGAGTGTACATTGGCGTGGCTTTAAGATAATCTAAAAATTCAAGCAAGAGAAAATTTTCCTTACGATTCCACAAACAATGCATTGACGAATTCATTTGTCACTTGCTGTATTACATGTGTATGACATCCACTTCAGTATTACCTGGATCCGGAAGTTTCGCATACCTTAAATTCTCTCGGATTCTCTCCGAATCAATCTCGTCCATTATCGTGTTTCGGACTGTTCCGTCGGCGTCCCGAACCAGGGCCCGAAACTTGTCGAGCGCGACCCGGTCTTCCTCCGTCAACCCGGTCTTGGAGAACCATCCTATGATGACTCCGACACCCAGGGCGACACACCCGCACAACACAGCCAGGAGGATGGACCTGCCTTTGGACATCGTTCTTTTGCTTTCCTCAAAGTTTTCTACTCGATCACTCCCTGCAAGTATATCAGTGCTGTTATATATTAGTCACTAGGGATGATACATTGTATGTATCATCGTACGTTGTACGCCAATCGGGATGAAGGGAGTATGGTTAGGTAACAATAAGTTGTACCTATAACCAAACTGTTATTTTGATAAGAATGGTGTCTTGGTGATAGTTTATTGCGTTACGGAAAAGACGAGTTGCGACAGCCTTCTTGTAATTGTGTTTCACACAACCAGTTACAGAGTCAGCTGAATCGTCCCCAGCGGAGTGGACAAAGGTGACCCGGGGGGTCGCCGTGGTTTGGATTTACACACATCCAACGTAAATATGCCGCAAAGGCAGCTACAATGGTAACAACTTTGGTGTGTAGTGTGACGTGCTGTCCAGGACAACGGCAGCCGAGTAGATCCAGGTAACAAGACTGCGACTTTTAGATGATTATATGGGGAATTCCAACGTTCCTATCAATCTCCATCCTCTGACATAATTAGGTGAAGGAAAAGGTAAATCTAAATCAAATCTATTTCAGTTAATTATAACAAATAGGACAAAGTAAACTCAAGCAAAGTTTCCTATCTCACAGTGTACCTAAATGCTACAGTCGCACTGACCGGCTATTTGAAAGGCAATACCAGGTACTTTTTGTTAATTAAAAGTAAATACTAAGTAGACCTGCTTGCCATCGCTTTCTATCAATATGTTGTATTGTTTTCCTTATTCTTCTCAAAGTTTCTACATTCTCTTGTTACTGTTACCTTGACATAATTGCGCAATACAAACATACAAATGAAATTGTACCTAAAAGGATAGCTCCGTATCCGGGCTCCATATTCGAAGTTGTGATCTTGTTACTTTTCTCAAGTCACTTCATCAACGATTCCCCAGTTACTGTGAAGAAGGAAAGAGAGACAGTATATGATAAGAAAGGTGTCAAAAACACCGGTACCGGCGACGAATGGTTGTTGTTTTAGAACCATGTAAGACAAAAGAAACAAGAGTTCCGAGATCTCATACCTCCATGAAATATGGGCTTGACATGTAAATGTTAATTTCTTCTTTAATTATGCAAATTACCTCCACATTAACATAATAAATGCATCGTGATGTTAACTTTTGATTAACTTACACATGTACCAAGTATGAAATTCCCATCATTTACCACTAAGGAGTCATAGAATTTTCGCATTAATTATGCAAATTAGGTCATCATTTGCATAATTGGTATCTGGTGATGTTCCATCTGCCATAGATTACATACTAGTACATTACATGTATGAAAGTACTATAATGCAAAACACTGTAATTATAGAATTTCCTCATT